CAAGTTCTGACTACTTTTATGATTTATTATCACTTTACATATTTTGTTGTTGATGGTGCATTGTGTTTTAAAAATTTTATTGCGCTTCAAATTGGACTCTTTTATATTTTCTCAATAGACTTTCGTATAATTCTTGATAACTTGTGTGTATTCAAATTTAGCTGAGATTTGAGGAAACTTTCTAACCACCCGTTGCCCTATTTTAATCTTGTTGACACAACCAACATTCATAGCAGTTAAAGTCTGCAAATTCTTGTTAACTTGTTTCTCCATGGGTTCGCGATTCTTTTCAAGACTTAACGCAGTCACCATCTGCGTGATGTTATGAAGGGTTTCATCGATCCCCTAGATTCGTTGTTCGAGTTTGTCGAGCCTCCGTTCGTCGTCGACGGTTCGACTGCCACGAGGACCATAGTCGGCCATCAGATTAAGACAATTTCCTTACTCTGATACCAATTTTGGTACAGAAGCGTTTATGAAATTCTTGTAATAAGAATTATGTAATAAATAAGAATGATATTTGAACAATCATGTCTAGTATATATTGAATAATAATTGATTGTTGTTGAAAAGTGTACAATGCATTTGTATTTATGGCCAAAACTATTCTTTAATCCTATTAATATGAGGAAACTAAATTCTAAAAGTAAATAAATTAAAATCATAATCTAATTAGAAATCATATTCTAATAAAAAAAGAAAATAAAAGAAATCATATTCTAAACAAGAATTAAGAATACAAAGATAAAACCTATTAGAACTGAAAAAAATAAATCACAATTGTAGTAGGAAACTATTAATCATAATTATGTACTACATCATAAACATAAGCAACAATGCTAGAATTGTTCAATGGAAATAGCAACATTAAAGAATGCTATAACAAAATAAAATACCTCAAAATCAAGTATTATAAGACATGAAAAAAAATAGTACTTCTGGCATTCCCGGACTATCGATCAAAAGATGTACAAATGATAAGATCTAAAGACCCAAAATGAATTAATAAGAGGATACAATGCGAACATAACTTTGTGTACATGTGTTTTGATCCGCCTTACTATGCTATCTGAATGTCGTCTATGTTATACTTTG